ATTTTGACTTGCAGTGTCACACTTATAAGTCGAACATAAAAATAACTATAATAATGAGTAATGCTACATCCATGTTTATCATTTACATGAATGGCACACTTAAGCTGCATAAAACTTGAAGTAATTTATAAACAATTACGCATGTACATGTAAATACAAGAAACATTCCTGTGGTTGTAACAGTTATAGAATTTATGTGAGTAATGAACTTAGTATAAAAAAGTATCCTCGGTTCAATTTGGTATAATGCATGAAATTGCATCTAAAATTCCGCGAAAGATAACACATCCTCAATAAGATCAATGTTTTCATTCGCGAATCATATATCAAAGGAAGTGTAAACATTCTGGTATTTGATACCTGTTTCTATATATGCTGAAAGTGTTATTTCAAACAATCCCATTTACTTCATATCAGCAATATTTACTATTGCGAAAGATTGAAGAGTATTCTCGGTTGAGCAATAAATGTATGATTGTATTTCCTCACTAAATCCAACATGTTTTTTTAACACAGGTGATTTCTTGGAACATCAAGAGGCAAACAAAAAATGTTTAATCGCTGAGCCAATTTTTAACTGATAAGCTCGTTCAGCAAGAAATAATAATTTTCTTTTGATATAAGCAAAACACAAAATGCGTAATCCTTGAACCAATTTTTGTAATCTGATAAGATTTTTCAGCAAGAAATGTTAATTTTCTTTTGATATAACATTTACCTACACAACAGAATTAAATGATAAAAAAGTTGAATCATGTCAGAAGAAAAAAGATTTCCTCTTAAAATTCAATTATAGACTTGAATGAACATTTCCTATACTGTGCTGCTGGTGAAGAAAACAAGTGGAACAATGCATTTTTTCATACACTGACATTTTTGGTACAATGCATTTAGAAAAATGTAATAAAGATTATTAGTATATCAGATAGAGGAGACCGTACACCTTCATGCACCAGCAATTCATTCTAATCTGCATGACCATTTACACGTAAGGAAACTTTGTTCTCTCTGGGTACCCCATAGTCTGACAGAAGAGCAGACGACTCGTCGTACGACTTGATGCCGAAAGATGAAAAATGTTTGATAAAGGGCAATCTCGGTATGTTGACAGAATCGTGACAGGTGGCGAGACTTGGCTCTATTATTACGTTGTGCCGACCAGGGCTCAAAATAAAGTTTGGGTCTTTGATGTTGAAGGCACACCTGTGGCTGTCAGAAAATCTCGATCTGTTAAGAAAAAAATGTACACAGAAGATAGTCAGAGCTAAGTGGTACACAGTGCCTGCCTAAAGAAATAGAGTCCAATTGTTGGCTAATTCAAGTGAGAGACAACAAGAACGTTGTTGTCTATTGTGTAGCACTTAGTTCCCTCCTGCTGCAACCACAATGTAACATAGGCCACATCTAGTTCACTTTTAATTTGGATGAAAAAGTTGACGATCATTAATCAGTAGTATTTGCCACTGACAGTGATGGCAACATTAACGCTATTTCCGAAAAATCGCGGACATATGCGGCATAGGCCCAGAATCTGTATAATTTTTGTGGATGCATCACCACCTGATGTTCCAGGTCGGTTACAATCAAACCATATTCGCCAACACCACCTAGGTCAATACAATGCTGGCCAAATTCAAATAAAAAAATAATTTCATGAAATTCGGACCTCTTCGATCCGTGCTACTAGTTGAATGATTTCATATTCAGCACGGGCCTTTCTAACAAAAAAAATAATTCTGCTCATACAGTGCTTTTCAAAAATAACAGTTATACAGGGTGTTCCTTAATGATATGCGAATATTTAAGGGTGTGAACCTACATGAAAAATTAATTGTAGTTTGCTTTATAAACTATGGTTCAAAAATGTTTTCTTATAAAAACTCAGGGATTGAAGTTTTAGGAAAAAAAATGGAAATTAATTAATATTTTCAGAACCGCTTCAGATATTTCACTGATATTTAGTACGTAGTGAAAGTTAATAAAGTTGCATAGTCTTCAATGCAAAAATAATTTTTAGCTTTAACAGTGGCGTGCGTACGGGTATTGATTTCAATATTTTTTAAGAAAAAAAATTGTACGTTAATGGTTTTTTGCCAAATATAAACTATTTTTGAATTCCCCGTTCAATTTAAAACAACTGATTTCTCTTGAATTGTTTTCCTTCGATGCGCCATTTTTGAGTAAAAAAATAAAAACCGTTCTATTGTCCGAGAAAATTAATGTAATAATTGAAGAATGCAATTTAGCAATAAATATCTAGTTGCTCTGGAATATGTCACTGGCTTTTGACATCTGACAAGTCTCTGTTCTTCAAATCTGTTCGCTGTGACATCTTTTCATTATTTAGTTTTTACAGTCTTGTTAATAATGGTGAATTATTCTAATGTAGAAATGGAGGAAATGCATTACGTATATGGCCTTGCCGACGGTAATGGTGAGCAAGCCAGACGGATTTATCACCACAGATATCCCGATCGTGCTTTGCCAGATTGTCGAACCTTTTCTAATATTCATCATCGTCTTGTTGCAACTGGTTCTGACTGAAAAGGTACATCTGAAGGTAGATCTCCAAGTGTGAGAACACCTGAAATTGAGTATGAGGAAGATCGCTAGACACTTAAATATTTGCCATCAAATTGTTTGGAGAATTTTAGTGGATTTTTTGTTATATCTTTACCATGTTTTAAGAGTACAGGCATTACTTCCCATTGATTTTCCAAGGCGTGTGACCTTCTGTCAGTGGTACCTTCAAAGAATTACACAAAATCCGCAATTTGAATCGATGATTCTTTTACGGACGAAGCTAATTTTTCTCGAAATGCCATTAAGAATTTCCACAATAATCATTTGTGGGCAGAAGAAAATCCCTATGCCGTAACCGAAACCCATTTCCAACACCAATTTTCGGTTAACGTATGGGCAGGAATTATTGGCAACCACTTTATTGGCCCATTCTTCTTGCCGGGACAGACTTACCACATTTGTCTTCAACAACAGTTGCCTTTGCTGCTTGATGATGTTCCGTTAGTAATAAGAAACAATATGTGGTACATGCATGATGGTGCACCAGCGCATCTCAGTGTAGCGGTTCGTAAATATTTACAAACTGTTTATCCAAATTGTTGGATTGGCTGCGGTGGGCACCAAGAATGGCCACCAAGGTCCCCAGACCTCAACAGTTTAGATTTCTTTTTGTGGGGATATCTTAAGACACTAGTGTACACAAGTCCCATTAACACTGTAGAGGAATTAAGAGAAAGAATAGTTGCAACTTGTGATAGAATAAAAAACACTCCAGGGATATTATAACGAGTGCGCAATTCCATGAGAACCAAGGCGGAGGCATGCATACTAAATGAAGAGACCCATTTTCAACGATTTTTGTAATGTTGGTTTAAATGTTATGTTTATGTTGTCAGTTGTTGTTGTTCATTACCCCTAATGTCTTTAATTTTTCCAATTAAATTAATAATAATTTTGCAAGTTAGACAATAGAGCAGTTTTTATTTTTTTACTCAAAAATGGCGCATCGAAGGAAAACAATTCAAGAGAGATCATTTGTTTTGAATTGGATGGGGAATTCAAAAACAATTCTTATTTGACAAAAAACCGTTGGCGTACCATTTTTTTCTTAAAAAATATCTAACTCAATACCTGTACGCACGCCACTGTTGAAGCTAAGAATTATTTTTGCATTGAAAGCTATTAAACTTCATTAACTTTCACTACGTACTAAATATCAGTGAAATATCTGAAGCGGTTCTGAAAATATTAATTAGTTTCCATTTTTTTCCTAAAACTTCAACACCCCGAGTTTTTGTAAGGAAACAATTTTGGACAATAGTAAATAGCAAACTAACATTAATTTTTCATATTCGCATATCATTAACACCCTGTATATTTCAGGATGCTGAGTAGGCTGATGCACATTTGAACATCTGCATATAAGAAACTTTCCTATCATTAGTTATGATAGTAGTGATATATAGTCTCATGATGAAAAAAAAAAGTGTTTATGACTGTATCTCAAAAAAGATAGGCTCTATAAATATTGATATATTTTTCTATAACACCCTGTATATTACATATATTGTTTTTTCATATTTTAATAATTTTGAATTTTATTGACTTTATGAATGTATCAGCAAATGGGCAGCCATATCAGCTGATTTATGTATGTGCTAAACATCTTAACTTTTGTGATACAGGATGGTAACTTTTTCAAAAATTAGTCATTAAGTATAATTAACATCTGCAAATACCTGTTTCAGATACTTTGGCGAATTTTAGCTTTATGTACTATGCATTTTCCACCAGTGGCACTTTGATGGAACTTCGCATGTCCATTTTGGCAGAAGTATATCACAGATTTCTTTTAAAATAAAAATTCTCCTTAAAATCTCCAATCACGTTTCACTGCATGATCATAATAAATATTAATATGACAATATCACCATACAAAGAAATAATCTGCTCATAAGTGAATACTGATTTCAATTTTGTTTTAAGAAAAGTTGGTTGCAGCCACCAACTCTCTATATAGAAACCTTACCACTATGTATCTCAAAAGTTGTTTAGGACATAGGTTCATGTGAAGTTTTCTTCTTAAAATGCACCAAAAAGGCATCCTCTTAAATACTGACATTTAATTAGGAAAAACCCGGTTCATTTTACAAATAATGCCAAATACTGCTAATGTACATATCAGTATCAGATGATCCCAAATATAAACACTTAGGAACATCCAGACAAACCTGGTACTGGATTTTTCTTTACATGATTTCTGATATTAGGTGAATGACTTCACATGTGTATTACACAAATGCAAATGCTACTGGTCATCTCAAGAAAGAAGTCCTAAATAATTCTTAATCTAATTCAACATTGTAGTACAATAGACAGTAATTCTTGCAAACATTGATGTATCTTCCTTTGAATAATAAGTATCACTCAAAGGTTCATTTACAGAAAAGTATAAATAAGCTAACAGTAAAACTTACCTTTGGAGTACCATATTTGAACAAATTCCTATTACTAACAGGGGTTAAGGCTTGTTTTTCATCACACTGAAATTTAATATCTTCTATATTTTCGCCTAAAAGTTCATTTCTCAATAGAATGTTGTACACTGAGCTATCTCTAGTATTCTCTCCAGTTTCTCGAGCTTTCTTGCCTGTCTGATTATTTTTGTTTGCATCTGGTATGGTAGCAAAACTGACCTCCCAGTTGTTGTTTGCCCTGCAGGGTATAAATCTGTCGTAGCTCCTTGGTGGCACATCGATATTGAAAAGGTTCCTTGCCGCTGGCAATTTAGATTGCCTCAATATTCTATCGTTGATGTTAGTGGTTGACATTTTTGGGTGGCACTTTTCAATGTTCAAGTCACAAATAGCCGCATGCTAGTATACCCATAGATACTGTGTTCAAGGTATGAACGTGCACTCGATAACTGCGGTTATTGTAGATATGTAAATACCCATTATCATTCCATTCTTATCAATTTTCGATTTCAGCGAGGTAATGCAGGCCAGAACACATTCTTAAAATGGATCAAATTACAGATGAGATTCTGTTGTATATCGAGAATATAGACTATCCTACTTAACACGTCTTTTTGAAAGTGAGGAGCCGTTAAATTTCAAAAAAAACAGAAAAAAAAGTAGTGTATTTCAAATAAACGTTCACCTCTCTCACACTTAGTTAAAAGCCACAAAATACCAAGTTCTAGTGATGTTTAATTTAAGGTGACAAGCTTGTCAAATACTGCGCAGTGTTGTCATATGTTGTTGGTTTGTTAAGCCTTGGTATTGATACTCTAGTTATGCGGGTCCCACACGATGCCTCCAACGTTGTTTACAACGTTGTAGGCATCGGGGATGAACTTTTTAGTCTCGGCCGTTCGACGCATGGTGGTGCCAACGTCTATTGTCGGTGTCGTGCTTGAACCTTTACAACTGAAGGACAAATTATAGAAAATAAACGATGAAACAATTTTTTCGAGCGCCGAAAAATAATTTAAGATCTCTCCTCAGCGACCAAAGCCTAAGTCTGTCAGAGGCCTCAAATATGTCGAAAAACGTTTGACCTTTTTTGGTTTGTTTTCCGACGATAGCTCCACCGCCACTGTACCGATTTTCACAAACTGCAGAGCTTCTTCGCCGTTTTTATAGTGTAACCTAGGGTCAAAATTTCATCAAAATCGTGATAGTACTTTCAGAGTTGTCATTTATTTAATCTTTTTCGTTAGTTATGAAATGGAAGTCAATATATTTCTCAACTAGTCTTGCATTGCAACAGGACATTATAATGAAACAACTGTAAGCACTTGATAATTTATAATTTAATAAAATACATATCCTTAGGCCAGCCATAACTCACATGCGAAACATACAAAATATTAGCAGTATGAAAAAAGTGTTGTTATGGCAGCCTATGCTTTGTATGTATACTAATTTATGGGTAGGTATTCGAAACAAAATACTTTCCACATACCACTACTTCACCACAATCACAACAAACAAATAAATAATGTTTGTCGTCGCTACTGGCTCTAACCTAAAACCATCAAACACATGACATCTTGTGTGGGAGCGTAACGAACCATGCTTCCAACATTGTAACGTCCTTTGACGCGGGTCAAATTTACCGACAAGAGTCCGAACGTGCCATGTGGCGAACGCTGGACTCATGCAATCCGTTAGCGCTCTCACGATGTAGCGAATGGCCATGTCTCCAACGTTGTAAGGCATTCGCCACATCGTATGGGAGCGGTTTTAGACATTCGTTCGACTTGTTCATTTGCTCCTACACCGAAGGTCTAAGGTGTAAGTGAAATTCTTTAAAAATAAAGCAATAAACAGCAAGGAAATCTTTTGTAGAAAAGTATTTTCTCTTCGACATTATCTCATAAGCAAAGACCAGCTTTCGGCTGTATTTTATGTTTTTAATCCGAATTAAAAGCGCATAAAGACCCAATCAGGCATTACTTGAGATGAAATTGTATCGCATGCGCCACACTTCAAAACTTCAAACTGATGTGGTGTGAGCTTGCCAAAAATTAGGTTCCACCAAAGTCGGCTTGAGTCCTATGCGTTTAGTAGGATTTATGTTGCTGTCAACTGTCACTGTGACATTTAGGGATATTCAATTGAATTACTTCCACTGTCGTTGGTGGTTGTATTCAATATACAGAGCTCTTCAAAAATTATCTGGCATAAACCGTGTAGGTGAATGATAAATTTATTGATTCCGTAGTTTGACGTGTATGAAACTCATGACGTTAGACGTTAGTTTGGAGAAGCGTAACCACCCATGGGAAAAATTCCGCCGGACGCACATGGAATTGGGCAGGGTAGGCGTCAATGAGTTTATTTTATTCCGACCCGATTAGAAGGGTTTATCGTTTATCTCTGGACCCGATGAAGATCAAAAGGTGTCAAAGGTACCTAGTACCTACTGTAACTGTCGCATATGCAGGGCTTAGGGCCGTATCGTCAGTCGTTCCTACAATTATTGTATGATGTCTTTATGATCTCCTTGATTTCATAACATAGTCTTTCCGCTCCTGTAGAAAGGATGGAGATTTCTACTGTTCCGTGTCAGCTTTAGCGCTCTTCGATTGCCAGGCTATGTTTTCTTTTTGAATTGTAAGAAATTTCAAGCTATATAACAGATGATATAAATCAAAAGCATGAACAATTTGATACAAGATATTTGTAACATAACCTCAAAATAGAGCGCTGACATGTAACAGTAGAAAACTATGAAGGTCAAGGAGGCCATAAAGGCGTCCTACAATTGTAGGGACGAGTGACGATTTCATTTTTTTTTTTTTGGCGTTAGGACTAGGAGTCCATGCAGCCAGTCACTAGGTTTCTTACAAATATGTATTAACACATGACGCCACAACATCCATGGCTTCGGAATGTAATTTTCGAAGGCGAGATTCGAACTCGCGGCCCGGACGAGTGACGATACTGTCCTTAGGGATATTCAATTACTTTTACTGTTGCTCGTGGTTGTATTCAATATACAGAGCACTTCAAAAATTATCTGGCATAAAGCGCGTAGCTGAGTGATAAATTTATTGATTCCGTAAAATTCCCCGGGACGCTCATGGGACTGAGCAGGGTACGCGTGAAAGAGTTTATTCCGACACGATGAAGATCAAGGGGTGTCAAAGGTACTTTCAGTTAGTAGCTGTCGCATCTGTAGGGCTTATTGTTTCAGTATTTCTTTAGTTATGATGTGTACTTGCTAAGTCCATTTTCACGCACTGCTTTTAACAATAATGAGTGAGCAGTCTAGTCGTCAATTGCAATACTGGACGAGATGAAAAATTTAGACGTAGCGATTCAGCCGGTTTCTTATGGTAAGTCGTATTACCTATTTATATGAGATACCACAATGTTTTGAGGATTCTGGTTTTGTGTAGGTTTCAAGTTTCAATAAGCCACAAACCGTACACTAGCTAGCTACTGCTAGTGCGCCGTGCCTTTTCAATAGGCAAAGTCGGTGCCCGCGTGTCATGTCGTATTCAGGAAACAAGTGAAGTTCAACTTGAACAGTGTGTTTTACTACTCTCTTCCGTTTCGGTACCAGACTATCGGATTGGAAACGTTGTACTAGCACTTATGCTACAGAATTATTCTAGCACGGTTTTGAGTTTAAGGAAGTTTTGCGTACAAACATTTAATGACAAGCAAAACAAGGTTGAGTCGAGAGCTGCATTCGTTAATAATTCTTGGAAATAAAGAAAAGCTAATGTATTTGGCATCGCGCCTAGTTTGGTATCCATTACAGAGCACAAACCAATATTGCACCATATTGAATGATTTGATTTAGGTTAGATTGATCAACAAAGGAAAAGTTAGCCACGTGGTACACTAACCACGCCCTAGTTCCTCTTTATCCATTCACGTGATTGACATTTGGGATTTTTGGATGAATACCTTAATAGTGCGTTGAACACAATGAACTGTCAACTGTCAGTGTTGACAGTTCATTGGTTGAATGTTGAATACAATAATTTGAGGTTAATTCACTATATATTATTGTCAGTCGCACGTGTATGTATTTTTTAAAATAAATTAAGTGCTAGGAATTCTGTGGTAAACGTGAACATGTCTGTACAAGATAAAGTATTGATGCGAAAGATAAAGAAAAGAGAGAAGCAGAAGCTTAAACTTATTCAGAGAAAGGAAGCAGAAAAGGCGACAGGTATGGTGAACTGCTAGTCTCTTGTTTTTACTTATTTCAAAATGTACATTCCTGAAAAATAATTTATACTTTTTTCTAACGCAGAAAAGGATCTAGTTCATTCACAACCATTGAAAAAACATTTGAAACGTCTTAATGACGAAGAGGTGGAACAACCAGTGAAAAGTAAGTTCACATTACGGAAGTTACAGCCTGGTGAATGTCTATATAATGCCGCTTTTTTTCTAGTAAAGAAAAAGAAACTGAAGAAAGTAAAGCAACAGCAAGGTGATGATAGTTCTCAGGAAACAAGTGAAGCTGAACCTGAAGAACAAACATCAAATGATTGTTCCACAGAAAATGAGGAACAGTCAGAACAAGATGATGTTGAGGAAGACATGTCCGATAAATGTAAGATTATCTTATACTTTTTATATAATAGACACCATTCAAAGTTTGATTCATATGGTTTTGGTCAAAATTATTGGCTACATCCACTATCAGTCTGTAGTTGAAGCTAAAGCTTGATGCAAGAGATGGTTATGCAGCATGGGCACCTACAGGAGAGTGGCAGGGCTGAGAAATTGATTGGCAATTGAAATTTGTATACTATACGCAATGCAACTTGGCCACCATCGACTCTTTTTGCTAACCCTGTATACTCCTCATACTGAACCAAGTTCCTGCTGGCTAGAAGAACCTCCATGTTTAGTTTTAATAATTTCTCCATCAATTATTATGATGGAATTTAGCCAAATAAGTTTTTTAGAACTTCATTAATGAGTTTTGACAATGATCAGTTTTCCATATTCTGACATATGTGCTTTCATGTTTTATGTGGTTTTTCTCAGTTTTTTTACATTGTTTATCCTGAAACAGGATTTCAACATTGTAAGTAGGTTTTATTAATCTTGTAATGAATTTTGCAGAACAAATTTTCTTTCTGACCTTCTGATTTTCAATTGCCTTACAGCTCCAACCTCAAGATTTTTGTTTTGCATCTTAACTAGTCAGCCAAGACTACCCTCCTCCTCCTCATACTTATCTACAGTTACTATGTAACTGACTATTGGATAATCCAATGCAATATACCCATTGCACACTGACCTATCAGCTACCAGCACTTTATATATGGCAGTAGGAGAAACCATTTCAGCAGGTTATATTGTCAGCCTACTCTACATCATGATACTTCATTATGTTTTGAGCTCTATTGAGGTGCAAAGCTGATGACCAAGTGACTTCTTTGTATTAAAGTCTGTACTGATGGGTGAAGCTCATGTGGAACTAAGGATTGTACTCAGAGATTCTTACTTGACAAAATGTAGTAATGATCATAAACAGCCTAAGAGCTATATTGCATGTATCATTTTTCTTTACAATGTGGGAACTTTTTTAAAGAAATCATGGCATACAGAAAACCACAAAAAATATGAGAGTCTCTACAGATCTGAATGCGTTATTTGCCAATATGAGGTATCTTGAATGTTAGAGAATCATCTGTCACATTTGACAGTTGATTAACATATACTACTTGAAGATAGCTAATCTAATACCTAATCCAGCATCCAAAAATGATCTGAGATAAAATGAGGTGTCAGCTGTAGCCAACTAAATGCATGCTCATATATGCTCATAATATAATTGGCTACAGAGCTATCTATATGGCACTAACCATTTCAAGGTAGATTTCTAATATTTGCAGAAAGGTGAAATAGCTATGACAAATTCTCATAGGTGACACCATGGAATCTCATTTCCTCTCTGAACTTTTTTGAACACAGGAATACTGTATTAGGTGGCTATCCTCAGGTAGAATATGTTAAACAACAGTTCGACATAATTGAGTATAATTATATAGAGTATAGAGGACATGCAGGAACTAAGCTAAAGCTCATTCTAGATGGCCACTTGTTCCACCTACTGAGTGCTAGTGAATGTAGTCAGTGTTTTGTTGACTTGTCACCACTTGAATGTTACCATGATGAAACAAAGGCGAATGTGATTTTTCCTCAAACTTGAGTTGAGAAACATGAATAGATATTTATAAAACTGATTTTTGATTTACAAATAAAAATGTTATTTAATATAACTTTTCTGTATCCTGTTCAACTAAAAAGTTCTATATTTTAGTACCTGGATCAAGTACAGCCTTGGAGATCCTTAGTAATCGCACATTTGGGTCACTTAAAGAAAAAGTATGTGAAAATACCTTAAAGGCTATTGAAGATATGGGTTTCACTACTATGACAGAAATTCAGGCAAGATCTATTCCACCATTGCTAGAAGGGAGAGATCTGGTAGGATCTGCAAAGACTGGATCTGGAAAAACATTGGCTTTCCTCATACCATCAGTAGAACTTATTTATAAACTCAAGTTTATGCCAAGGAATGGTAAACAATACCTCTAGATTGTAGTCATATTAAAATCACTATTGTGCTCTTCAAGACTTGAAGAGTGTTATTTAACGGGCGGCTGTTTAGATAACTAACTAGAGAAAAAAGTTAGTGTTTTTGGACATTTTTTGAATCAGTTACACCACTGAAACAAGGAACATGTTGTGTTTCACCAATATCCGAGGTATGTGACGTCACTTGGACATGACCTATTTGTCCAATCGTGGGTGTATTTGATACAGTAGCCAGTTATCTAGGGAGGTTCCCGTTAAGAAACTTAGAATGCTAGATGCATTCTATTTGAATGATCATCCCAATTCATGGTTTAAGCAGGATGCTATGTTGGCTAAATATAAAGAACATGTAATGTGAATCAACAGCTATCAGTGGTCTAAATTCTTTTATCAAGATATTCTGTTTATTTAGTATGACATATGTTTTAGGAACTGGGGTCATAATAATTTCACCAACTAGGGAGTTATCTATGCAGACTTTTGGGGTATTAAAAGAATTAATGAAATACCACCATCATACCTATGGCTTAGTCATGGGTGGTACAGCTAGACAAACAGAAGCTCAGAAACTTTCAAAGGTAAATAAACAAATTTTCTTTTCCCCCTTTTTGGAAACGTGCACTAGATTTGCATAATTTGTTTAGGATGATAACATTCTCAAAATTGTTCTCCTTATATTCTGGTAAAATATGTACTTTGAATTTTCAGGGTATAAATATTCTTGTTGCTACTCCTGGTAGATTGCTTGACCATCTTCAAAACACACCCGATTTTTTATACAAAAACTTGCAGTGTTTGGTTATAGATGAAGCAGATAGAATACTTGAAGTTGGTTTTGAAGAAGAAATGAAGCAGATAATCAACTTATTACCCAGTAAGTGGTACATTTTTATGTTTTTTCTTTTTTATTTCAGCTATTAAAACATGATTTCTTTTGGTTTCTCAAATATTCGCCGTTATAGGATTTCAAAAATTTGCGAATCTCTCTCGGAAGCTGAGATATCTCAACATGGAGGAATTTTAAGTTATACTAGATGCAGTTATCAACTTGCTTACTCTAAGCAGAACACACAGCATGTTTTTTTCTTGAAGTTATACATAAAATATGTTTTGAATTTTTTATTTGGATTCAAGTCATAATTTATGATTTGAATTAATGTGTAAACAAAGTAGTAGCTATAAATGCATCACTCTGTTCTGTATCTGTATATGAATAGTCGAAGTACCTTTTATATTGGAAGAGATATTTTACTGTAACTTGAAACTGTGTCAAAGGAATTTGAATTTTTGATCATTTTTCTCTATTTTGATGAAAGCTGTGGATTCAACCAGAATGTTAGTAAACCTTTACATCTTTTTTGAAAATACGCGCTTTATGTAATTGTTTTAGAACGCCGCCAGACGATGATGTTCAGCGCCACTCAGAATAAAAAGACTGATGCTTTGACTGCACTGGCATTAAAAAAAGAACCTGTCTATGTTGGTGTTGATGACTCAAAAGCTGAAGCTACTGTATCTGGTTTAGAACAGGTTGGTAATTAATATGTGACCTGTGGAAATGACGTAGGAGCAGCTATTAAGGTCACATGTGCTGTTATAGGAGTGTATAAAAAATCAGGTCACGCGATCCAAATTTTGGGCGTAAGGCCGCCATATTTTAAACCGCCAAGTTGTAAAACGGTTATTCAACATATCTTTGCGAACAGTGAGCTGATTTTAACTTTTTAAAGCTCATTTTACTTCTCTTTTAAGAACAAACATATTTTATGATTACACATTTTTTTAATAATCCCTTAATCAGATATCTAAGTCTCCAATGTTTATTAATTTGTTCAGTTATTCAAATAATACTACCTTAAATGGGAAAGTGGTCCATTTTTTTTTTAGAGTGAGAACTAATTTCAAAGAGGGAAAAGTAATGTATTCACAACTACTGAATACAGTATTTGCTAATCTTGCCACAAAATTCAAATAACCTTACAAATCTCGCACATCCTGGGATTAGCCATTAAGGTTACGTGTGAACTTATATGTGCCTCCAGTTTGAATGCGAGTTATTATTAAGCATGTATAGGTGATGTTCAAATTTGGGTGACGTAATTTGTACGACAGAGAAGCGCGACATGTGTGCAGTATGTATGTAGATGTGCAATATGTATGTCTGTTTAACACTCGTATCGCTTCTCTCTCGTACACATTACGACGTCAGTGGTATATGATTTCCACACTGTATAAAAACATAGTTAGGCGATCCAAATTGTCGTTTGAACGCCATATTTAAAAATGGCCGCCAAGTTTTACAACAGCTGTTCAACATAACCAGTGCACTGATTTTAATTGAAGTAGTCGAGTCATTTAAATATCTTGGTATATATGTGGATAGTAAGCTACTGTTTCGCGAACATTATGAATACATTATTTCAAAAATATCGAAAAAGATAAATTACTTCTATAGAGTTTCCCATAGTATGTATTCCAAAAAAATTGTGTATAACACTATAATTTTTCCCCATTTTTTATATTGTTCAACCATCTTGTTTTCAGCAAATGCAAACATTTTTTCAAAATTACAAATTCTACAAAATAAAGCTTTGAGAATCATTTTAAATAAAAACAAATATACTAGGATTAAGTCTATGTTAGAAGAACTGCAGTGGTTGGATGTGAAAAATTTCATATATTATTTAGTTCTCGTTATCATATTCAAATTAAAAACTTATTTATTACCACCACATTTAAAGAACTTCACAAAATTAAATAGTCATTATCATAACTACGAAACTAGAGGCAGTATAGATTTTCATCTGCAAAAATTGTAATAGTAGCATAACTAGTAAATCTATATTTCAAAAGGGACTTTTTGAATTTAATAAATTGAATAATGATATTAAAAAAAGTTCTAATTTAAAAAATGTTTAAGGTGAAATTAAAAAGTAGTGACTTAATTTTAATTTTAATAGACAAGAATGTAAAATTACAGAAAATGGATTGAAGAAAAATATGTAACCGAATCATTATACAAAATTGAGATTGTAGCATTACTGCTGAATAAATCTTCAACAACAACAACATAACTAAACAAAACATTTTTTGTCATTATACATTTTTCGATTAGTCCAGCAATTATTTGTTTATTTATTTATTTTTACACTACTCAGAGCAACAGCCATTTACAGACTAGGACAAAGTCCCGACTACAAAAACAAAAACAAACAATCACTCCATAATTCAAGCAAGAGTAGCTAGTTTAAACACAAATATGCTATTTACAAATATCATAGTGCAGATAAGAGAGCAAAAAACAGAGAAGAAAGCAAACCAGTAAGACAAAACCTCAGAGAAATATATCTTATTGTTCAGCAACGTCATTAGCAAAATCTATTCTACTAATAGCTCATTAGGTAATTCTAAAAAGAGAGCAATTTGCTGATTTGATAATATCTAAAGTAATGAAGGCCACTAGTGAGCAGTGGTAAATTGGAACCAGTAATCAAAGGGACTTTTAGGGAGTTTTACCGATTTTTAATTTTGAAACGTATTAGTGACATTTTTTGTATGCTTTTCTGGGTCAAGTTCTTTCTTTAATAAATATCGAGTTGAACCATATGGAGACTGGTGAAGATGAAGCTGAAGCTGGCGGAAAAGCAAATGAGGTGAACGTATCACAAGAAGAAAAGACTATACCATTTTGATACAAGAAAAAGAACTATAAAAAACAGATAAACTGAATAAACAAATTGAGAATTTACAAAATACATCTGCAAATAACAGTAAATCCTATGCAGACATGGTAAAAAGTTCTACACATGAAAATACCAAAAAAACGGAAAATATACTAAAAATAGAAAAACATCCGGGAAATACAAATGTCGTTAAACCTATTAATACAAATCAACGTTGTATGCAAAGAAGGAATTGAAATCCAGCAAAAATGAATATCTATTAAAAAAGTAAACGATCTGAAAGATGGAGCACTAAAAATTGAGTACAAGGATATCGATGATATAAAAAAATTGAAATTGGGAATAGAAAAAAGTGTTGGAGAGACTAAAGTAAATGTAGTATGTAAAAAATTACCAATGAGAGGTTGTGGGTTTCAGTGAAGACTTAAGCAATGAAGAATTGGTTACAGACTTAAAAGTGAGAAACAACATTATACATAGTGATGCCTCGATTAAAGTAGTGGCAATTAAGAAAATATAATTTTGATATATGACAATTTTGGAATTGGCGAGATCAACATTTGAAGAGATAATGAAAGAAAGGGTCGGTTGTATCCATGGATGTTTGTACAATTTTTGAGCATTACAATCTTCTGATGTGTTTTAACTGTAGCCGATTTCACCATAAAAAAAATAAGTTGTCATGTATTTATGAATCACATTGTGTAGAGCGGCATATTTTCCAAGTAAGGAACGTTGGATACAGTTTTCATAACTAACTTTTCTATGTACATATTTAAAATATCGGAACTACCGCTTACGCATTAAAAACTCGCCGTGTATGTAGAAGCATCCTAGCTGAGGAGTCGTCAGAAGTGTCAGGTTTGATTGCGGTGTTTTAAAAGTGTTTCCATTGAAAATGGAATGATGCCGTAGCAGCAAAGAATGTATGGCAAAAGTAAATATTTTTCTGTTTATTGTAAATACTTTCATCAATACGAATTAATTTTAAAACTTTACATAGTCATCAATACTTCATCGCATCTTATTGGAAAACATATTCCTTTATATTATTGGTTCACACAAACTACACCAGATCATATCGAAATAGTATAATTTTTACGATTACAAATTAATATCTGCGGCAGATGCAAGGGTACACCGGCTGCGGTTGAGCACTAAAACCTCTTTCATCGTTGTACTGGGGGAATTTACATTCGACATTCTCCTCCGAAATGGCGCCGTTTTTGATACCGACTGGAGACGTTCATAGCTGGTTGTTATCAAAGCTGTGATTATACTATGGTTTTTAATTCGTATTGTTTTGCGTATTCATTTAGCACTACATGTAAAATGATCAATTTTTGGTAGAGGTTAAACCAATTTCTAAGAGCTAAAAGTATTGCATTTACAAATCACGAAAGCAGTTTTCACTATTACCACAGAATTAATCTAAGCATTCCGAACCTGATTAAAAAAACTAGATACTTCAAGTATGATTACATGGACACCCACATGTGGTTTGAATTTTATTCTGGAAACAGTTAAAATCTATACAGGAGTATTAAAAAATCGTGATCCAAATGGTGGTCATAAGGTCGCTATATTAAAAAATGACCAATCGCAAAATATTTCTTTGAGCGTATATCTCAGTAATTATTGGATTATTCGAAAAATATATAGTTGCAAAATATATTTGCCTTTAAAATATAACGAGCTTTAAAAAACTAACATCGATCCAGTGGTTACGAAAATAGGTTGAATAACCGTTTTATCACCTCGCGTCCATTTTTAAATATGGCGGTTAAACGACTACGATTTGCTTCTACTGACCTGATGTTTTATATATTTCCATAGGTGCCCAATATTACCATGCATTCAAACCGAGGGGACCTTAGTTGCTGCTCCTAGACTAAAAGCAATGTTTATTCCACCAGGTCTAACTAAATCAACTTTTATTTTTCAGGGTTACGTGGTCTGCCCATCAGAAAAACGGTTATTGATATTGTTCACATTCCTTAAAAAGAACAGAAAGAAGAAAGTGATGGTGTTCTTTAGCTCTTGTATGTCAGTAAAGTATCACCATGAATTGTTCAATTATATTGATCTACCTGTTATGTGCATACATGTAAGCATATATTTCTAATCATTTGTTTTATGGCTCATTATTATTCATCTTTAATGAAACGATTTTAATGCCACCTTGTATGGAACGTAATTCTTAAGGTGCCGTTCTTGACAGCGACAGCATATGACGACGCGGAACAAGACAAGTGACCTGTCTATAGCATTTGCCATCAACTAATTACTTTCAAGAAAGTACAAGCTGTTAGTTAACCATATACATATATGAGAATAAAACATTGAAATTTCATCATTATTCTAAGCAAAATAGCCCCAGTAGTGTGTAATGCAGATTCTGAAGTCCGAACTTGAAGATTTAGCAGCGACAGTGATTCTGACAAGCGCAACATACCCGAAATTTGAATTATGCTTGCATGTATGGTATGCAACCGGTCTCTTGTCGCTGTGCCACGCGCGGAACGGCACCTTTAGCTGTATCACATATCTGTATTTTTCAGTTTAGACATTTTATACATGTCTTACATTTTGTTATTTGTGAAAATGATTTATAGCGTTTAATTTTTCGTGAAACTAGTGTTGCACTGTTGCGTACTTTACTTTTTTTCGCAACACCTGTTTATAAATATAAATAATTAGTTTTGCACTCAGTGCAAAAATATTGCACGACCTGGAGGGGGACATTCTAAACACAAAAAAGATACTTAAGAACTTTTATGCTCTCAATGTTTCTCCATCGCGAAAAGTTCTAAAGCATCTTTTTTTGTCTAGCATGCCCCCAAAAAACTAAAAGCGAAACCGGAGCGAAAGAACAATTTTTGGAATTTGCTTAAAGAATTGCTTGAACTTTTTTTGACGTGAATTTGGTCCTGACAATATGTAGATTGTTGAAAGCGGCTCTTTTTAAATAACATTGTGCAAAACATCTTAATCAGAATATTTTTCCCATCAGATGCAAATATATTGGATTGACTATTAAGGGTGAACTAGATCAGAGAGTTTCGAACACGGAAGCTGCACCAGTTTCATCAAAAGAAAACGCTATTAGGAACTTGAAAAAATCTCATACATTTGAATTTATTAATGGTGTTGTAGATAGAGACGTTATTATGAAGATCGTTTTTTTTTCTTACTAGGGTAAACAGAAACAGACGAAACGGACAACAACATTCTTCCAATTTTGCAATGCAGAGACAGGCATCTTGCTGTGCACAGATGTCGCAGCTAGAGGTTTAGATATACCTGCAGTTGATTGGATCGTACAGTATGATCCTCCAGATGACCCTAAGGAGTACATTCACAGAGTTGGCAGAACAGCTCGCGGTGAAGGTATGCGTTAGAATCTGTTCAATTTGAAAAATTTTAAATTATCATTTTATACTTACCATGCTCCTGAAGTAATATGCAATGGTTAATTTTTTACGTTGTTTTTTAGGAGGTAGTGGGCATGCTTTGCTGATTTTGAGGCCAGAGGAACTTGGTTTTTTGAGATATTTGAAGCAAGCGAAAGTGCCACTAAACGAATTTGAATTCAGCTGGAGTAAAATTGCAGATATACAACCACAGGTAATTTATTGTACAAGGCGTTAAGAAAGCTTTATGAATAAATACGGATGAGGCCATTTAGTACCAAGCAGGGGGGTCTATATTTGCACGTTTCAAAAGCCACCGAAGCTTTAAAAAAATAGGTAACTTCAAATAGTCTTTGATGGCATTTATTAGGATTATTAAGAATCCTTACATTACGGACATTAAGGTGTTTGATGCACGGGTTGTCATATTTTCCTTATTTTTTAGACAACACACATATCCATACTACTCGACAAAACTCAGAAGTACGAATGTAGATCTATCCAATATTATAATAAAACTAAAGTATTTATCTCAGAAAATTCTGAATACCTTCGTAGTTCAGACATTACTCGTGGAACACTTTTTACTTCAAATATTTAATAAAACACAAATACACATATTATATAAAAATAAAACTGTTGTTCCTCTGCACTCTCAAAACAATTCTCATTATAATTGTTGTGTATTCATATGTTTCAACTTTTATTTTATTCTCTGTCTTGGTGTATTTATTATAGATGTGAGGTAGAAAGTGCTGTAACCATGCGCTCATATAAAAATACTATATTATATATTAGAATATTTGTGAATTTTGGCCAAAAATTCCAAAACAATCAAGCGCTAAAATAAAAATATCTATATATATATATCAACAATACATAACTCATTACATAAATTTGTGTTATTTTCAGGACCGAAAAGTCTAATTCTTTTTGCGATTACATTACTTTTTTCAACTACTAGTATGATAAATCGCCATTATTTACCTTATCCCTCAAAGGAGAAAATACATTTTACTTCCTAGATAAATAATAATAATGCCACATTATGAATGGAACAGTTCAGCCAACGTAAAGCAGTGCAGCGCTTTTATACTGAAAAGGTAGTAGCACTGGAATAGCTTTGACAGTTTGCAACACTAGTCACACATCCAAGTGAAAACTGCTGACAGACTGGCAAAGTTATCCCGTGGCTACTCAGCATAAAAGGGCTGCACTGCTGGACTATTTACATTGGCTGAACGATACCAATGTGTGCATTCATGTAGAGCTTCTTTGTCTTGCCGGACACAATCCTTTATCCATTTTTGAAAATTTCCAATAAATAATGATTACCTCAAGCCTCTACAGAGTCTATTTTGTAACTGAAATGATTGGATTTATTTCTCATTATTTTAACAGCTTGGAAAATGAGTGGGAAACGAATGATGCGTCGACATAGGTAGCTTCTTCTATCTTTGTCGGACTCTCCCACTCCACGTTCTGTGATGCAGACAATTCGTATTGCTTTATTCTGGCAGTGTTGCTGGACGTTCAGATGGCATGTCTAATGTCTAATAAAATTAAATGTGATAATATATCATCGTTAGATGTGAAAAAACAATTCTATACATACCTCGGTGGAGAAGGTCATTATTGTTCCTACTTGCGATTACTGCGACTTTTTTCACATGGTTCGTAATGTTTCGTTAGTAATTTTTAGTTGTCTCAAAGGTTAAAATAGTTGAAATAGCTAGTTTTTGAACACATGACACAAGAAAGTGTTGAATATATTATCATTTCTTCAGTTGGAGAACCTGATCGGCAAGAACTACTTCCTTAACATGTCGGCCAAGGAAGCATTTAAAGCCTACGTCAGAGCTTACGACTCGCACCACTTGAAGACAATCTTCGACGTGGCCACCTTGGACTTGGTTAAGGTCGGAATGTCCTTTGGCTTCAAAACTCCTCCTGCAGTGGACTTGAAAGTATCTGCTAAAAAGGGTGAAAGGCCAGAAAAGAAGAAGAAAGGGGGTGGTGGATTCGGGTATTATAAGAACATGAATGATATGGATCGGAAGCATCAAAAGAAGAATTTGGTTTACAGGCAGCCGAAGAAGTCTGGCCCTGATAACAGGCAGTTTAGCAGATAAGGAATACATGTTTTTATTGCAATTGTCAATGTTGTTCAATATAATATTTTATTTATTTCTATGTTTGTTTACTCTGACCTGATAAAGGATCCCAAAATTAACGCAAGTTTCGAATTAAATAGAAAACACAGTTTTAAGTTTTTAGATTGTTATTTTTCATTGAACCATAAAGTACTTAGGATAGGGTTATGTATGGAATATCACATCGGACAAATGACCTTCCACGGCTTTGCTGGCACATACACACTCTTTTTCCGCAAATTTTCAATGACCGTTCAGCATAATGGTGGCTGAATTTCGTTGATGTACCGTCTAATTTCCTCTTGTAATGCATGGGTGGTTGTGGGCTTCTTGACATAGACCTTTGACTTTAAATAACCCCATAAAAAGAAATCTAATGGTGTTAAATCAGACGATCTAGGGGGCCAATTCTGATCACCGAAACGGGAAAGTACACGACCAGGAAATGTCTCGGACAGTAATTGAATTGTTTCACTGACTGTATGGCATGTGGCACCGTCTTGTTGAAACCACATATTGGACACATCTATATCATCCAGTATCAGCAGAAAGAACTGTATTATCATGTCGCGATATCGAGTACCAGTAAACAGTTACTGCTTCACCAAAAAAGTACGGTCCAATTATGCCTCTAGCCCAAAATCCGCACCAAACAGTGACACGTTTCGGGTGCATTTGTTTTTCAATAATCACACGTGGGTTGACAAGGTTAAAACGCTATTCCGGCCATATTTTGTACAAAATTTTCGAACTCGGACGGTAAACCTTCATTATTTTTTAAATATTGTTCAATAATTAAAACACGTTGTATCGTATAACGCTCCATGTTTACTAACCCTAACCTCTCAGCAGTGAAATTGTTTTTTCAGGACTGCCTACAATTTACTGCAAACATTGTGGCAAATTCAAATCTTGCGTTAATTATGGGAACCCTATACGATACACAGTCTACAGAGTGTTCTGTTATCGATTAACCTCCCTGTAACTCTTTTGTCTGACTGTTTACAAACGTCTTATTTATACGTTATAGGATCAAAAATAGAGTTTTTCTTTTATACATGCAGGGGCCTCAGATTTTAAATAAAGTATGTAGTATTTTTTTAAATGGAACATATCTTTAGCGTGATGATAGTCCCTTTATTCTAATTCTAAATACATACACCAAATACCACTGACGTCGTAATGTGTACGAGAGAGAAGCGCGAGAAGTGTTCAATGCGTGTGTTAGAAAGAGAGCAACCCGAGAACTACGTCACTGAAGCCATCGGGGCGCTCTTTCTAACATATACAGGGTTATCCAAATTAAGTGTCCACCATTAGTAACTTTGTTATTAGTGAAAATACAAAGTTGTTTGAATTAGCAAACTAGTAGCATTTTTAACGCTGGTAAAAATGAGAAATAAAAAAAAACAATTGAGAGTCGTTATTTTGATTTTTTTCAGTAAAATAACATTTTTTTAAATGGAAACCCCTGTATATTATATTTTTTTCTGTTAAAGCATCAAATTTTAAACAAAAAAGCTTACAATAACTTTTCTCCTAGGTTACAAATTGTTGAAGTTATGGCCTCCAATCTGAAACAATTAAATTGTATCGACAAACTTTATTTTCAACATCAACTTATAATCTTACAAAATACAATAACAATTTTTTTAAAGAAGATGCTCGAAGACACCACCTTGTTCTTCAATACATTTTTGGGCACGTTTTTCAACTGCTCGAACTGTCTTAAGTATGGTCCTACCATCTATCTGGGTTATCTTTTCCCTAACTGCAGTCTTTAACGCGTCAAGGTTATCGTACCTTCGCTTGTAAATTTGGTTCTTTAAGTAACCCCACAAGAAGTAATCAAGTGGGTTTAGATCTGGTGATCTTGGAGGCCACTGTATTGGGCCATTTGTTCCTATCCACTGATCATTAAAAGTAGTACTTAGAAAATGATAAGTACCTCTGGAGTTGTGGGCAGGTGCGCCATCTTGCTGAAAATGCAGATGATGTCTACTTATAAGATCCAATTCGTCTAAGAAATTAGTCAGAATTTCTGACATAAATTCCACATATCTTTCACCAGTTAGGGTTCCCTCATAAAAGAACGGGCCAACAATTTTTGAACCAATTATACCGCACCAAACGTTGAAACTGAAACGGACTTGTGGGCCTCTTGGATGTACTAACAAAAGATTTTCTCTTGACCAATAATGGTGGTTTTTTCTATTAAACATTCCAGAATTTGAAAAATTTGATTCATCTGTCCATAAAAGGTAACGAAAGTTATTTACATTTTGGCGACAGAAGCTAAGATACCAATGGCAAAAAACAAGTCTTCTCTCTGGATCCCCTGCCAAAAGCGTTTGAACTGGTCGGTACTTATACGGAATAAATTTGTATTTTTTTAAAATCCTTTGAACAGTACCATAACTGAAATTAGAGTCCTTGAGAATATCTGCTATTGAATTCTCACGATAAGCTTCAAAATATCCAATAACTGCAATTTCCGTGGCCTCGCTTATTATGAATTCTTTTTTTGCCCTTGTTTTAGCAAAAACATTTTCGTTGCCCCTAAATTTTCGATAAAGTCTCAGAAAATATCGTTCATACGGTTGAATGCGAGCGGGATATAATTCACTGTAGTATTCTCTTGCTCTCAAGGAGGATTTTCTGCACACTAAATAGCATTCTAACATATCACACTTTTCTTCATGGGAGAACATTTTTCTTTAAATTAATGACACAATAAAGCTTATAAACAAGTATTTACACTAATGTTTGACATTATTTGATTTTATCATTGTTTTCCAAAGCCTTCTAGTTGCGAGTATGTCCAGTTTAACAATTTGTCGCTTATCTTAATGCTGTCAAATCGCGAACGCCATGTTGTTTTCATAGCCGTCTTAATATTATAATACTGCAAATAATTAAAAATATTTATCGTTATTTTGACTTTATTTTTGACTTTAGCGGAAAAGTCATTATGAACTTTTTTGTTTAAAATTTGATGCTTTAACAGAAAAAAATATAATATACAGGGGTTTCCATTTAAAAAAATGTTATTTTACTGAAAAAAATCAAAATAACGACTCTCAATTGTTTTTTTTTATTTCTCATTTTTACCAGCGTTAAAAATGCTACTAGTTTGCTAATTCAAACAACTTTGTATTTTCACTAATAACACAGTTACTAATGGTGGACACTTAATTTGGATAACCCTGTATATCACACGCTTATCGCTCTTCTCTCTCAAACGCAGTGCGAGCCAAATTTGAATCTCACCGCATATGGTTTAAGATGCTTATTGTGGTTAGTCTGGTCAAAAACACAAATTTTCTATCGCATTTATTCATGTGCATCTAGCTACATGTGCAATCTGATAAAGGCTGGATAGATATGATTGAATGACACATAAAACTTCAGGTTTTTTACTAGAGTAATTAAAATAAGTACAACAAACCGTATTGTATATTTGTAATCAAAAAGGACAATCATTTTCAATAAAAATATACAGGGTTACATTTTAAAAATATTGCTTTATTTAATAGCATTTCTCTGTATTCAGAAAAGATAATACATGAAAAACTTTATATTAGACTCTATAACTCTTTTAGCTAGGTCAAACATTTTTTTGGTACGAAGAAATTAAGAAATATAGGTTTACGAAAAAGTTTCTGCGAGTACATGGCTGAAGTTTGAAATGTGCATTTAGAATCCCGTGTATTTTGTATTATATGACTAGATAGGTTCTCGAATCGTAACCTTTTATAACGTCTGCCAGTAGCAAGTTTATAGCCCGTATGCTTACCTGTATCCAAGGGATTTAGAAAACATTGCTTGAAATGTTGGTCGTCCGTACCCTCATTAGCGCCATTATAGCACAAGTCAAGGGGAGAGCACATTGGCGGTCCCAGAATTCATGTTCAGCAAAATTTCTGTCTCCGGGCGACTATTGAAAATTGAATGCTCTTCAATTTAATAAAAAAAATCAATCTCGACATTCTTTTTTTCATCGAAAATCTCAACTTTCTAATTCCTAAGCTATGGTCTACAACTTAATTGGCTTGATGAATTTTGACTTATGAGGTGTCTCTAGATTTGTCACGGCTTGATTAGCGACAGGTAGTATGGTTTCCGGCACCAGCGATCCACAGGGGACCTCTTAGCTGACGTCACGCAATTGTGGAGTAAACTCATCCACTCTTATGGTGAGGCTCATGTCGTTGCTCTTGATATCACGAAAGCGTTCGATCCGCTGTGGCACGCTGCCCTCTTATGCAAACTTCCATTCTATGGCCTCCCAGAGAAGCTTTGCAGATGGGTGGCTCGGTGGCTGACTTCCTCTCTGGCCGCAAGATATCCGTTGTAATTGACGGGTTCTCCTCTTCATACCACAACGTCAACGCGGGTGTTCCCCAGGGATCGGCCTTGGCTGTGACACTGTTCCTCTTACATATCAATGACCTCCTTTCTTGTGTGATCAGTACAGTTCACAGCTTTGCTGATGACAGCACTCTACATGCAGGAATTGAGAGCAACAAGCCGATCTATGCCGGTTAGCTGGAAAAAAAGACTAGCACCGACTTCCTCTCTGACGAGTAACCTGGAGGTTATCACTGCTTGGGGACTCAACAATCTTGTACAGCTTAATGTTTTCAAAACACTACTGTACCTTGATGAACAAAAAGCGTCCTAACGCTCATCCGGTTCGATAGCTGGCCGAGTTCTGCCAGAGTCGTTCTTTTCGGCTGGCCGTAGTCCAGATCGCTGATATGATCTCGAGCTCGACGAACTAATCATTGCTGCACTCTCCAAAGCATTTTAATGTTATTTTTCATTCCTGACTATAGTGGAAAATTATTTGTCGAAGATCATCTACAGTTTCCACTGGCGTATTGTAAATGCGTAGTTTTAAATCACCCCAGAAGAAGAAATCCATAGGATTTAAATCTGGTGATCTAGCTGGCCACGATACAGGTCCTGATCGGCCTATCCACTGGTCTGGATAAACTCTATTTAGGTGCTCTCTAACTAATATACTAAAATGAGGTGGAGCGCCGTCGAGCATAAACCACATATTCATGCGTGTTTGTAATGGAAGAACTTCCAGCAGAGTGGGTAATTGTTCTTCAAGAAATTGTAAATACCTTTGGCCATTTGGTCTAGGTGGCAGCTCAACGGGTTCTATTAAATATTGTCCAATTATTCCTACCCATAAATTACCGTGAAATGGGGTGAATAGAAACTGCTGGGTGAATAGCAACAAAAACGGGAAACTTCTTTTAAAAAAAATCAACATTGGAATTAAACCTCCCAACGCTTCAAATTTGTTCTCAAACGGTCAACAGATGTCGCCATAACTGCTTTAACAGGCCAAAGATGTTTTATGCTGGCAGCCCTGATTGCAGTAGCAACCACCCGTCGGAGTGAACACATGAGCCTTTTTCATCACTAGCAAAACTTTATTCACAGTGGTTAGCTAAAAACAGGTAAGACATTGAGTTTTTGGTTAAAGTAGCTTTAAGGTGTCTGGTTCACATTGCCTATTTCAGAAATTGCTTGTCTTGCTTATTTTTTTTGCTATGATGTAATATAATACATAACCACACTTTTAAGTAATTTTGGGGTGAATAGAAACACGCTGTTTCTATTCACCCGCTGTTTCTATCCACCCCATAACTGTTTTTTCTTTTGCAGGAAAATGCCTCGCGTTTATAAACCAGACCCTCGAGGTAAAACATATAAGAAAATTGATGAAAAAACTCTAAAAATAGCCCTTGCTTCAATTGACAACGGGATGAGTTATAGAGTGGCTCACGAAACATACAACATTCATTATTCTGTGCTTTATCGGCACCACAAAAACCGAAATCTGAAGCTTCATGGAGGACAAACAGCCCTAACCAAACAAGAAGAAGATATTTTAGTCCATCAACTATTAGTTTGTTCCGATTGGGGGTATCCACTTGACCATTTGGACGTCATGATGATAAAAAATTACCTAGACAGTAGAGGTAAAACAATAACGAGATTTAAAGATAGTATCCCTGGCAGAGACTTTGTCTACTCTTTTTTAAAACGTC